ACTCATAAAAATGACACTTAGTACGTGGAATTTTTTTTTTTTTTTGAGAAAAGCAATATGAAGAAGACTTTTATTGTCAATAAGCTCTACCTTTTAAACCAGTTATCACAGTTTTTGCTCTAGGTATTTTAATTGAAGATTAACTGCTGTTAGACAGTGGACGCGTTTAGGGAGTGAGTGTCTGGAGTGTCCAGATTCAGCTTTCTCGCCGGTGGGGACCGTGTTGGTGGGGCCACCGGGTCCCGGGCCCGCACCCGCCAGCCTCAGGGGGCTGTGGGTGGAGGAGGCCCCCGCAGGAGGGTCTGTGAGCAGCGTGGGCTCCTGGAGGCAGGGCCGACGGGTGTGTACCCCCAGCTGGCTCGTCCCGACCCAGGAACCCCCAGCTCAGAGCCAGGGGAGGCCAGCGCGGCCGCCAGGAGCTGACCAGAGCATCCACAGCAGTGGCCCTGCATCCGGGGTCCCCCGCTGGGAGCGTGCGTGTGTGTGTGTGTGCGTGTTCTCTGCACACCAGCCCGCCTCAGGACTGCTGTGTGTGTCCGGGGGGGTGTGGGCAGGGGTAATGGGGGCTGTGCCGGGATGGGGGGCAAGGCAGGGGCCTGGCAGGGGTGCAGAAGGGCCTGGCAGGGGCGAAGGCGTGGGCGCACAGGTGTGCAGGAGACAGCTGGCACGGCCGGGCTGGAGAACTTGGACGCCGGCCTGGGGAGTGGCTGAGGATTTCTGAGAGGGGTGCTCGGGTCTTTGTTCTGGAAGGATCTCTGGCTGCCGACCCAAGGGCAGATCAGAGAAGGAGCTGGCCCAAGAGCCTGGAGGCTTGTGCCAGGAGGCCGGTCCCGGGCCTGCTCCACCCCCGCGCTGGGGCGCCCACTGCCGGGGCAGGGTCCAAGGCCCGCCTGGGGCTCCAGGCTGCAGCCCGGGAACAGCCCTGTCACGCCTGCCCTGGCCAAGGGGGGCGGGAGCCGTCGCTGGTGCTGGGGGCTCCCTGGGCGTGATGCAGCCCCACACCAGCTGTGTCTGTTCCAGGCGACCTCGGGCGCCTCTGCCCAGGCCACCTCCATGACCCACCCTCTGTCTGATGCTTACAACCAAGTCATTTCCTATTTCAGCATGGTTTTCTTTTTCACCTTAAAACAAAGTCCTTCCTTCCGCACGGCACCCTGCTTTCCCTCCCCACACACCCCCAGTCGCCAAAGCCTTAGCTGCATTGTAATTTCAATTTACACAGTGTGGGGAAGATTTCTGCAAATGGTCCTTTTTTGTTTTTGAAGAATTCATCATTGCTGCTAAGAAGCTTAATATAAATTAAAGGAGGAATTAGGCAACATTAAGACATCAAAATAGGGGTGCGGGCGCCCACTGCTTCGCCTCCGCCCATCAAAGGGCCTCGTGGACCCGTCGAGTGCGGGAGCCTCAGACGGGCCGCTCCCGGATGGGCCTGTCTCCGCCCCCTCCCAGATTCCCTTTGTCGCAGGGACAGCGGAGCACACGTCTGATAAAAGCTTAATCACCTTATCTTTTTAAAGCAAATTGCATCTTTGTTTACATACGGGGTCCATAGCAGGAAGGGAAAGGAGGGAAACCAGGCCCCCTCCGCCCAGCCTGCCAAGCTCGAGGCTGAGAGCGCACGTGAGCAGCCCGGCCTCCTGGAGGAGGCATCCAAAGTCTCCATCCCCCCGAGTCGGGGTTCGGCAGGAGGGGAGCCAGGGACGCCAGTCCTCAGGCGGCTCTGCCCTGCCCGCCCGCCCCGCACCGAGCTCGCTTGCCTCCCACGCTCCACCGCACTCCTTGGCCCAGGTCAGCCCCAGCCCAGTCTGAGCGGCCTCAGCCACACCCACCCCGTCCAGAGTCGGGCTCCGGCTGAACTCAAGGTCCCTGTGTCCCTCGGAGCTCCCCAGCCCCCGTCAACCCACAATGTGACCCCCACAAAGCCCCCCACCCCGGCCCCGGTGTCTCAGCTCTGCCCAGAGCTGCTTACCCCAGGAATGGCCGGAATGGCTGGACTTGGGCCGGCCAAGGGGGCCCACCGAGGGGGCTGGTGCCCCCGAGCCACTTGCAGGGCTCGGTTCCCACTGGAGGGTGCGGGCCGCCCACCAGCGTGGAGGCCCCTCGCCCGGGCTGGCCCCTGACATGAAAGCCACGGCAGCAGCTGGAGGCGGTTTGGCGGCTCTGATGGCCATGTCGGGGCGGCACCCACGGCCCGGCCTTGGGAAACAGCACGGCCACATTCTTCCCTGATTACCGAGCCCAGCCCGGCCAGCGGCCTCCGGCCCATTGTGCCTTTGTGTGGGGCTGGCGCTCGGAGAGAAAGGCCAGCCTGGCCGTGGGAGGGTGCCCCCAGGGGAGGCCGCGGGGAGCAGCGTCTCCCCCCGGGTCACACCCGCCGCCCCCAGGCCGCCGGGCCGCTGGTTGGGGGTGGGGCAGGCTGGCCAGGCTCCAAGAGTCCCCAGGTTGAGGGAGAAGGGGCAGGGATGCCTTGAACCCGGGGGGTCCCCAGGTTTAGGAAGAAGGGGCAGGGGCGCCCTGAGCCTGGGGGGTCCCAGGTTGAGGGAGAAGGGGCAGGGATGCCTTGAACCCGGGGGGTCTCCTGGTTTAGGAAGAAGGGGCAGGGGCGCCCTGAGCCTGGGTTCGGGAGCTGCGTGAGCCTGGAACCTGGCGGCCCTCCCTCCTGCCCCCCGCCAGCCCGGGTCACGGGCAGGGCCCCTTGCCCCGTGGGCAGCGTTTCCTACTCGGTGGCCCCCTGGTCTGCGCACCCAGGCGGGACCCCACTCACCCTCTGTTTTCACCTGACACACCCGCCTGCACCCGCAGGCCAGACCCCTGTCCCCGCCCTCACCCCCGACAGGCCGCTGGGGAGCTCCTGCCCCTTCTCAGACCCGAGCTCTGAGGACGCGCCGCCCCCGCCCCCCGGTGTCTCCCAGGCCAGGAGGACTGTGTGCAGGCTTCCGGGTGACCACCGACGCCCTGACCTGCCCTCAGTCCACGCCACTGGCCACTAGGCCGCAGGAAAGGCCCCCGCAGAACAAGGCGGCTCCGGGAGCGTTGCCGGGACCCCACCAGCCAGCTGCCCCAGTGGACCATCTCTGCCGGTCGGCACCCTGGCCGCCCCGTAGCGGAGCAGAGGGAAGCTGGGCCAGTGTCTCAGGACGGCAGATAGCACGTCCTCGCCCACGTCCGGTGGACTCCCGGCCCCGCCACTCCGGTTGGCACGAGGTCTGTGCCGTGTATAACGAGAGCCCTCACGGCAAGATGGCCCGCAGATTGGGCCGCACCTGTCTCCCCGTCGGGTGTGGACCCGGAGCCCCCGCCCCTGCAGCCATCAGACCTCGCGGCACCAGAGGGCCGGGGCGCCCATGCCGTCTGCCAGGGTCTGTGCCAGCCCCCGCCCTGCAGGAGGAGCCCGGAGGCAGAGGGCACCTGCCAGCCTGGCGCCTGCGGGAGGGCTGACCCGGAGCCCTTCCCACGCCCCATGCCCTGGCCCAGGGCCTGTGGTTCCACAACCCGCTGCCCAGCGGGAGCCTGGCTCCCCGGGGCAGCGGGCCCCTTGGCCACCCCGTCCCGGAGCCTCGTCGGCTGAGCGCCCAGCCCCCCGGGGGGTGCAGGCTGAGGTGGGCAGTGGAGAGGCAGACGGAGCCCCTGTGCAGGGGCAGGGCTGCCCCGACCAAGTCTGCGGTCATCCCCGTTCCAGGTGCCCCGCGGCTGCTCCTGGGGCGGGTCTGCTGCGGCACCGTTTCCCACAGTCGGCCTCGGGTGGACGTCCCCAGCTCCCAGTGATGGGCTGGGGGCGGCAGCCCGCATTCAGCCCCAGATGTGGCCCAGAGTTCACATGCCCGCCCAGCCCAGCCCCCTCAGACCCCACTCCCCACGGGCATGCGGGGGGCATGGGGCACAGGGGTCCTCCTCCTGGTGTGACGCAGGTGAGCGGTCCTGCCGGCTCCGCTCCTCGGGGAGCCAGCCAGTGCCCGGGCGGGGCGGGGAGGACCCCGCCTGGACAGCCAGCCAGGGGCCTGTGGCTGATGGAGGCCCTTGGTGTGTGTCAGGAGCGAGTGCCATCCTGGGGCATGCGGCCTGCCGGGACCCTCGCTGCCCAGAGGGGCGGGCACAGCTCCTCCCACAGGCCCCCGGCAGGGTCACGGAGCTCACAGGAGGGAGCAACCGGCCTGGGGCGCCTGCTGGTGCAGGGCTGGCTCGAGCCTCGGCCAGCCCCCCCAGGGCTCTCGGTAGGGTGGCCCCCGCCCGCGGCCCACCAAGAGGCTGCCTCCTGCTGCCCCCAGACAGGCTCCTCGTAAAGACAAGCCCTGCAGAAAGGGGCCCTGGCGCTGGGGAGGGCAGGGCGTCCGCGCCGAGGAACAGCATCGGCCGTCGTGAGCGTGGCGAGGCTCCAGGACCGGCCTTGGGGACAGAGAGCAGTGGGCGGCGGGGCGCCAGCAGGAAGCGAGCTTTGCTGTCACTCAGCCAGCCGGGGACAGCGGGTCTGCACCCGGCGTGGGTGCTTAGAGGAACCAGGGAGCCATGGGGGCCGCCCCACTCAGCCTGCAGTCAGGGGACAGCGTCGGCCAGCACCCAGGGAGGGGGCGCCAGCCGGAGCTCCACGGCCCCTCCTTCCGCCCTCCAATCCATCGGGGTCCTGGGGCAGAACCGTGATGCCGCCTGCAGAGTCACCGGGGGCGCGCCCTGGGTGAAAGACTGTCTCTCAGGTCTCGGGTGAGAGTCAGCGTGAGCGCCCGGGGCAGTGGGCCATTCATGGCAGGAGAGGACACGGCCAGCGAGCGCAGGGCTGCGCCGGGGGCCTGGGCCCAGGGTGGGCGCTGGCAGGGTGCCGGGAGCCGGTGGGAGCCTCACTGAACCCCAGGCCAGAGGGGCTGTGGCCGGACCAGCATGGGGGGTACGGCGGCACAGGACGGGCGGGGCCCGGCGGTGCTGGGGTCCCGGCTCCATCGGGGGGCGGGGTCACTGCAGAGTCGGGGACCCAGTGAAGTGACGGGCGCCCCCTCTGTGCCTCGCAGGTGGCCTGAGCCCCGAGTCCAAGAGGATCCTGACGTCCGCCCTCAAGAAGCGGGGCCGTGCTGGCCGGGGTGAGGCGGCCAAGCCGGAGGAGGCAGAGCGGCCAGAGCCTGCCCAACCCGTGGGCCTCAGCCTGTCCTTCAAGCGCTACGTCTTTGATGCCCACAAGCGCATGGTCCAGTCTCCCTGAGTGCCTGCCGGCCCCCCAGACCCGGCTAGGCTGCAGTGCCAGACGTGCCGCTGCCTCTGGGCGCCCCCCGGAGGCCCCGGACAGGCTCTGTGCCCGCACCCCCGTGCCTCTCGCCGGAAGAGCCATGTCAAAAGGGTCAGGGGGTCCCAGGCTGCCCAGTTGGCAGCTGCAAATAAATGCCCATGGTGCCCACCTGCTGTTCTGGTCCCTCTGCTTTCACAGGCACCCCCTCCCTCCCAGGGCGAACGTCAGAGGAACCGCCAAGGCTCCTGATGGGCCTGGGGCCACGGGAGGGACCCAGTGGGCTGAGGGTGTCTACGAAGCGTCAGGTCCTTGGGCAGCTTGGGCAGCCCCGGGGCGTCCTGGACCTCGAGAGAGCAGCCACATCCAGGGAAGGCATGTCCCGGAGGAGCACCCCTGGGGGATCTGGGAGCCACAGGGGCCAGGCCTGTGCCATGGGGCGGGAGGCAGGCTGGGGGCTGTCCCCACACACCAGGACTAGGAGCTCTCAGGTAGGTGCCTGAGCCTGAGCCCCCTCGGAGCCCCGCAGAGCCCCACCCGGCCTCCTCTGCCCCCTGCAACCCTGCCATCCCTGCGGACACTTCACAGGGCATCCAGGCGTTTACAGACGTCTGCAGGACGGACAGGTGCTGCAGCGACCCTGTGTTTGGCCTGCGGGTAGATACAGAGGCCTCCCTTTTACCCTAGTAATCGGTGCATCATGCTTTAATTTGCAAATGCGGCATTAAAAGTATTACCAGGGACAGGTTGTGATCAGTGACTAGGGCCTGGTCAGCCCTGAGCCAGGGCCCTGGGAGGGCAGGGTGCCGTGGGCCTGCCGGACCCGTGCGCGTGGCCGTGCCAGCGGGAGGTCAGCGTCCAGGACGGTAGCGGAGGGCCAGGCGGGCAGGGAGAGTCCAGACCCGGCCCCCACGTCCCAGTTGAGAAGCCCCTGTGGACCGCCATCGACTCCCCCGTGCCGGCCAGACTCCAGGCCCTGCTCCCATTCAGCCTCCACTGATGCCTGCACGCGTCTCCCCAGGACGGGGTCCCCAGGGGTGACTTCCGGCAGAGGCCCCGTGGCCCCCAGCCCGGTGCTCTCCGGGGGAGCAGCGGCCCCAGGTGGGAGGTGGACTCGGGCGGGGATGCTGAGGCACGGGGCGGGGGCCCCCGGCCACGGCATGCAGCTCCGGAGCAGTGTGCCTGCCCGCGTGGCCCGCGGCCCGGGAGGAGACGCTATCAGGCCTGGCATCGGTCGAAACCCGAGCGCCCCAGCCGCATCAGCTGGGCACAGCCTTCGAAAGGGGAGCACGGCAGGCGGGCGGGACCCCGGGGGTGGGCACCCTGTGTGTGCTCTCGCGGGCAGTGCCCGCCTCCCATGGCTCTGGGCACCCTCAGACCTTCTGCGTCTCAGGAAGAGAGGGCCCTGCGGCAGCCAGTGGCATCTGCACCCATCCCCACCTGCCGGGTGCCCTGGGAAGCAGGGGTCCAGTTTAGAAGTGGGGGCTGCCCATGTGCAGTGCAGCTGGGCTCTGAACCCAGGGTCTGGATCTCCCCAGAGGCCCCCACCCTGCCCCAGCACCTCCGCTGCGGCCTCAGAAAGAGCTGCCCACAGGGAACGGGCCAGGGGCAGGCGTCCTGCCACAGGCTTGCTCGGCGGGAGGGGCAGCCATGATCCGCAGGCCCCCGGCTGGCTGGCGGGACTAATGCACCAGCCAGGCGATAAGGCTTATCTGGAAGTGTCTCTGGAATCGAGACTCTGATGGAAACAGGCTTCTGGGTTAATACAGTTTTGACAGATAAAGTCTCCTCGACGGGAAGCCCCGGGGGCCAGGGCAGGCAAGCGGGCAGCTTCTGTCCTCGCCGGCCCCTGCCAGCTGGTGCGTGCCCAGGGGCCTGTGTCTAGGGGTGCCCCGTCCGGGGGCCCTGCCCTTCAAGTCGTGGGAGTGGGGTGACGAGGCGGATGTCGGGTCCGGTACGCACAGGGCAACAGCGCGTTTCCAGGCCAGCTTGTCCCCGGGGCCTCGAGGGACACACCCAAGCTTCCCCGAGGGGGCCCAGGCCTCCTCACAGCGGCTGGAATTTCCAGGCTCCCTTCTGGGGCTCAGGACAGTCCTGGCCATGGCCTCCCAGCCATGTCTGTCCCCCTTGGCTGTGTGAGGCGGGGTGAGGTCACATCACCCAGCCCTGGCTGGGCTCCTGGGAGCCTCCACAACAGCAGTTCTGATTAAAGAGAGTAATTAGCGTTTGGCTGATAATGGAGCAGGGCCACTCATCAGCCAGCCCAGCCAGGGTAAGGGCTCGACGGCTCGGAGGCAGCCAGGCAGCGGGGTGCCAGGCGTGGGGTACCGTGCCCCCCTGGGCAGCTGACCCCAGCCCTGGGCCTGTGGCAGGGCAGGGAGATGGGGGTGCAGCCGTTGAGGCAGTGAGAGTGTCAGCTCAGCGTTCAGAGAAGCCCCCAGCCCCCAACTTCCCACAAGCTCTGGGCACCCCTCGCCAAGCCCCAGGCCCTCCCGGGGGGCAGGGGCCTCTCGGGTTGGAAGCGGACCCCCAGGGCGGGCTGGTGATGGGCCAGCAGGGGCAGAGCTGGGCAGGGGGTGGGGGGCGTGCAGGCTGAGGCCGAGTCCCCGGGGAGGGAGGGGGCAGGGTTGGGAAGATGCCTGGGGCTGGTCACCGCGCACTTAACTGAGCACCTGCCGTGTGCCGGACTCGGCGGGCGGGGCGGCCCTGTGCCCCCAGCCCCCGGGGCCGGCAGGTTAGAGGTCGTGCGCCCACGGGGTGTTGCTCAACGCTGTCCCCCCGCTCCGTTATCACCAGGTCTGGTGGGGAGACAGCTCGGCAGAGAGAAACGGCCGCTTCCTGCGGCCACAGCTGGGCTGCAGATAAAGGGCGGCCGGGAGCCCAGCCGACCACCCGGGCTGCCTCCCACCTGATCCCCCGGGGGCACCCACAGACTCAGCCCGGCCCCCAGCTTCCCGCAGCCACCACCCAGCAAGGCACCCGCCCCCCAGCCACGGCCGCAGCCTCTGAGCCCACGCTGCAGCCTTGGGGGGCCGGGGGAGGTGGGGGTGGACCAGCCAGACACAGAACCCGGGCTTCCCCGGAGCCCCGGGCAGGCCCTGGGGGCCCAGCTTCCCCGAGGCCTCCAGCCGGCCCCCGAGCACGCCGACCCCGGCTTCAGCCCAGGGTCCCGTCCAAGCCTGGGCGGGCAGGACCTGTCTGGAGGACGGGCAGGCAGCCCAGAAGGAGGGGCCACAGCCAGGAGGGGTGGGGGCTTCTGTATGGCCTCTGTCCTTGGCACCAGGGGCAGACGTCCGCCCCGAGGTGGGGCCCCACAGCCGAAGGGGTGCGGGACTCCTGGACGTGCTGAGCCCACCCCCACGGCTCCCAGATGTGGCACCGAGGGGTGGGGGGTGGGGGACGAAGCCAAACGGGAGAAGAGGGAAATCAGGGTGTGCTCTGCAGAGCCGGGGGGGGCGGGCGGAGGGGATCTGGACGTGGCTGGAGATACTCAGCCAGGGTGAGTCCGGCGGAGGCGGTGGGGCCCCCCCGGGGGGCAGGCAGGGTGGGCAGACTGTTGCACAAGGGGCAGGGACCGGCCTTAATCAGATGTGGGCCTCCTGGTTCTCAGGGCTCGGGGAGTTGGGGTGATGGGTGCCCCCACCCCAATACCTGCCCGTGCGGGGGGCTCCAGCCGGGGACGGACTGGGGAGCAGACACCCCACTTCCTGGGCCCCCTCCTCACAGGGAAACAGAGGCAGACGGGGGTCCTCTGCCCCTCAGGGCGAGTCCCGGCGCAGAGTGGGGTCTGGGTGCGCGGGTGGACACGGGGCGGGCCGCGGCCACCCCCACCCTGTGGACGCTGGGTGGGCCGCTGATAAGGAGAGACAGTTGTCAGAGTCACAGGGCGCCGCTGATAAAGAGACAAGCATCTCCCGGCGGGCGGAGGCGCTGGGAGGGGAACCCCCGGGGGTGCCCACAGCTCGGGTGGAAACACTGAGGCTGTCGGGCCAGCAGGGCGCCCCCCACCCGCCCCCGGCTGGAAACCCTCACAGCAAAGCCAGGGGCCAGGCCTGGACAGGGGCGGCCAGCCTGAGGGGCCCGCAGGCACGAGTGTGGACGTTGGCGGCTCCCGAGGCCACCCTGGGGGCAGGGCTGAGCCGGGACCCAGGCCCACCCTTGAGGCTGCAGCTCAGAGGCCCCCGGGGTGCTGGGAACGGGGAGTTGCAGAGACAGTGAGAAATGAACAGAGACAAATAGCAGGAGAGAAAGAGAGACAGACCCCAGGGGAGACAGTGAGGCGGACTCTGAGAGACACGCAGAGGGCCAGGGCACCCTGAGAGCTGAGTGCACCCTGGGGAGGCCCCAGAGACGGTGGGGGGTGTGGGGCCTGGGGCCAGCCCTGCTCCGATTGGCCGGGGCTGACTGCAGTGGCAGCCCGTAATTGATTCCCTGGGAGGACGGGGATCATTTCCATGCAGAGAATTAAGATTTTCTTCCAAGATGGAAATAAAGATTAATTTGCAATTTCCTTCCTCACTGCACACAGGAGAGCGGCTCTGCTGGAGGCGGGCTTAAGCGGGCAGGTGGGCCGGAGGGGGGTGGGCAGGGGGCGGCCTCTGGGGGTGCCAGCCCCCCCCCACGTGCCCATTATGGCCCCGAGGGGCAGCCTGTCTCCCAAGGGCTCCCGGCTCTGTGCCTCTGGCTCACGGTACCCCCACCTCCGGGCCTCCACCAGCCTCGCCAGGCGCACCAGCCAGGCCCAGGCCAGGACCCAGACCGGACGCCCCGGAGAGGAACGCTGGGTCCCCATGGCCTCCAGCTCTGCACCCTCCACTGGGGCCCAGGGGCAGAAAATGGTAGCCCGGGTGCAGACGCCAAGGACACCACACCCAGGTTCCCGAGCCGGGCATCCCAGGCTTGTCCCCGACTGGCAGGGCACAGGGGGCCACGCCACGCCCTCCGGCCTGTCCAGGCCCGCTCCCTGCCTGCACAGCCTCTGAGCGAGCCCAGTCTGCCTGGGCCGAGGCCCACCCACAGCTGGGCCCCATGACCCCAGGGTCCCCGTGAGCGGCCCCAGCACAGGCCAGGGGCTGGCAGTCTCGTCCGCGTCTCTGCGGTCCCCTGGGCAGTACCCCTGGGGGCACCGAGAATCTGACCTCGGGCTCTCGGCCAGGTGCAGCCCTGAGTCCTGCTGCACTCACCTCCGCTCCCTGCCCACCCTGCGCTGCCTGGCGGCCCGCTGAGGGCCCCGTGCCCCGGGGTGTGAGCAGCCTGGAGCTGGTCCACCGAGGGCCCCGCACCCCGGGGTGTGAGCTGCCGGAGCTGGCCTCCGCGCCTTGTGCCAGCCTCTCCTGATGGTGACCTCTGCATGACCTCCTCCAGCACTCGAGAGGCGGGAGGAGCAGCTTTACGAGCAGGAGGCGGGCGCATTCCTCCCGGGTGCAGCCCGCAGGCCTTCGCCTATCTCCCCATCGCCACAGGACCGAGGGGCCGGCTGCCCCCGGAGCCCCAAGCACCCCTCCCCAGCCCACCTGTGGACACCACGTGCTCCAGAGCGGGCACGTCACCCGGCCTGCGTGCCCGGGCCCCCCAGGCCAGGCAGGGCCCACTGCCACAGCCTCTGCTTGCACGCCTCCAGACACGGGGCGATCTGCCCCCAGCTGAGAGGAGCAGCCCCTCACGGGGGGACGCTGCAGGCTCCAAGTCTCCACCAGCAGCTCCCTGGCCCCAGGGCTGGCCTGCAGGGCAGCGTCCCCCAGCCAGCACCTCTGAGAAGCCCACCCTGCCCTCATCCCCCTGAGATGCCCCGGCTGCCATCGGCCACTGCCTGAGGCCCTTTGCCTCATTGATTCCTTTGACCAGTAACAGGACCGAGGTCTCCTGCGTGCTGCCCGGGGCCTCGGGGCCTCTTGGAATGGCCTGCCCCCTGCGAGGGGCACCAGGAGGGTGGGGACAGCTGCTGCCCCGGCCTCAATTCCGGGAGTCCCAGTCCAGCCTCGCTCCAGGGGGAGTCAGCATCCCGGTCCTTCCTGCAGGTTCCGTGGGCCACCTGCCCCGGGGGTCCCAGACCCCACAGCCACCAGCACCCCGCTTTCAACGGCACAAGCAGATGCGGGCCCCAGCAAGACGAGTGTCTGGTGGGACCTGCCCTGCTGGGGAGTGGTGAGGATGGCGGGGTGCCCACCACGTGCTCCCTGGCCACCACCGGGGGGTCTCCTAGAAAGTGAAACAGTTACTGCCCCAAAGTGGGAGCGGCGCTGACGTTTATCAGCTGATGAATCGGTAAGCAGCACGAGCTGGGTGCACCTGCACACCGCCCGGAGTGCTGCCCCATGAGATACGGTCACCTGAAACGTTCCTCGGCTATGACAGTGGTAACAAAGGGATGCAGTGCTGATGCCAGGAGGACGGGCCTTGCAAACACTGAGGAGAGAAAGCCAGGCACTCAGGAAGCCGTGTTCTGTGACTCCCCACGTGTGGGCCACCCAGAGCAGGCGACTCCGTGGAGGCAGGGCGCGTCCTCGGGCCAGGAGAGGATGGGAGGGAGAGGGCGGAGATCGTGGGGGACAGGGTTCTCCTCCAGGTGCTGAGCAGGATCTGACGCTGATTGTGGTGACGGGGCCAGCTCGGTGATGGTACTGAAGCACAGAATCACACACTCGGAGGGAGCTGAGCCATGTGTTATATCACAGGGAAGCTGTTTTAAAAAGTAGCAATAAAGTTACCATCAGTTCAGTCCAGTTCAGTCACTCAGTCGTGTCCGACTCTGCGACCCCATGAATCACAGCACGCCAGGCCTCCCTGTCCATCACCAACTCCCGGAGTTTACTCAGACTCATGTCCATCGAGTCGGTGATGCCATCCAGCCATCCCAAAAGTTACCACATGACCCAGCAGTTCCACTCCAAGGCCGGCACCAAAGAGAGCAGAAAACATCAGTCCACAGAAAGAGCTGAAAACGTCGGTCCACAGGAAAGCATGTGAGTCAGGAGAGCGGAAGAGTAGGGAGGACCCGATTCTCTGATGAGTGGAGAAGTGAAACGTGGAATTAAATACGGATACAGGCTCCACAAGGATGAGCCCTGGAAACAGGCTCAGTGACAGAAGCCAGACAGCAAAGCCATACATCAGATCACGGCATTTTCAGAAGGGTCGCGAGTAGGCACGCCCACGGCTGTAGCCAGCACCCTGTGGTCGCCAGGGGCCGGGGGACCTGGCCGGATGGCTGTGACGGCTCGTGGGTGAGGCTCCCTTTTGGGGACAAAATGTCCTCAGCTTAGATCGTGGTGACGGTCGCACCACGTTGTCAACACACGAAAACCACTGATGTGTCTGCTTTCACTGGGGAGCTTCACGGCATGTAAGTTCTGTCTCCAGTTGGTTAACACTGTGCTCCCAGCCTCACAGCCGGTCCTCGGCAGTGGCCGCACCCCATTCGGTCCTCTGTGGTGGGAAGCCAGCGCCCACCCCCGGGGGCTGCGGGACAGAATGCGCGCGGAGCCTTGGCAATGGGGGGCAGGGACGGGGACACCCAGAAACTCGTGCGCGGCCTGACCCGGGCCCCAGCCGCCTGCTGCGCCAGCCCGCAGTGGCTGTCGGCTCCCAGGGCTGCAGGAGAGGCCGGCGGGGTTCTGCAGGGGGAATCATGTTGTTCTTGTTTTAAATCACTTCAGCATTTGTCGTGTCTATTAGGGAACTAGTTCAAACATGTGAAACATGCACACAGCACAACACAATGCACTCCCACCAACAGCCATGTGGGAAGTGAGTCGTGGGGGCAGCCTCCAGTCTGGGGCCCTCCAGGCTCCGCGGTCGAGCCTCTGCAGACCCCCGGCCTGCCTGTCATCGTGGGCAGCAGGCCACCCGCTCCTTCCCTTTCCCAGGCTGCAGAATCAAAGATCACCATCGGGACCAGAGGCGGGGGCCCTGAATGCACCCGAGACTCTGAAAGTCTGCAACTAGCTGTGTTTTGGGAGATCATTGCTGGCTGCGTACAGAGAAAAACGAGCCTTCCCCACACACAGCCTGTTAGTCTGGGGAAACGCACTCGGTCCTTTACAGGCACGTCGCCCCTCCAGGTCCTGCCGGCGCCCGGGACCCCTCGTGCTGCGCTCAGCTCTCTGCCCCTACGGTCGCACATCGTCTCGGGGGTCCCGTGCCCGTGGCCGTGCCGCCTCCTCCGGGCCCGCGCACCGTCCATAGCGTGGGCCGTGGTTCCCTTGGCCGCGGAGCAGGCTGCACTGTGCGTGCGTCCTCCAGCTGGGGAAGAGTCAGGTGGTTTCCAGGGTGGGGCCACTGTGAATAAGCCCCTGAAATTTCAGGTGACCCTGAGTTTGACGTCTCTTGAGTAAGTGGCCGGCTGTAGAACGCTGGGATGTGATGTTAGTGGTGTCTGATGTTCCCGGCGACCGGCACGCTGTGTCCCCTGCCGACGCGGCTGTCTTGCTCCTTCCCCGGGGGGCCAGGCGCTGAGCCAGGCTGGGGGAGGCCGGGGGGCGCTGCCAGCCCAGTGGAGAGGAGACGAGAGACAGGAGGCATGAACACGCAGGCTCCTGTTGGGCTCCGCGGGTGACGAGGAGGGGACGTCGGCAAGGTCCTCGCAAACCACAAGAGCTGTCGGCCTGAGGTCCAGGGCACTGAGCAAGGCCCCGGGCCCTTGGGGCAGGCGCGTCCTGGCATGGTACCACACGCGGGACGGATTTACTGGGCACCTCCTGTGCCCGGGCCGTGCAGCAGACCTCAGACACACCCTGCTCACAGCTGAGGGCCCGTGGGGGTCGCGGCCAGGCGCCAGAGCTGGGCCCTCCCTGCCATCATGCTGTGTGACCCTGGGCGGGTGGCGGGCCCTCTCTGAGCCCCCGCCCTCCCGTGGGCACCGCAGCCCCTGGTGGGAAATGGCCCGAGGCGCCCGCGGGCAGGGACTGGCCCACGGGCGGGGTGAGCCGCGGGCCCCGCGCTGCCGCCGCCGGCCGACAGAGGGCAGGAGCGACCCGCGCCTCCGAGGCCGGCGCAGAGGCGGCCGGCAGGGACACCTGAATGCAGGGCCTGGCCGGGGTGCCTGCAGGCCCCGCACCCCCGACCTCCAGGGCTCAGCGTGGAAAGCGAACGCAGACCGCCACGGCCAGCAGTGTTTATGCGGGTCACCTGTTGAACCGGCACTCTTTTGGGCACACCAGTTAAATAAAACCTGACACTCAGCTTCACTTTCTTTAAACATGGCTGCTTCGGGCTCAAGCTCCAAGCAGGCTGGCAGTGCTCTGTGCAGACGGGCGTGCGCCCCACGCCCCGTGACCCACGTGATCCTCCCCGCGAGGCACGCCCCCCCCACGACCCCCATGTACAGCTGGGGCTCCGAGAGGGGACAGGGGCGCTCAGGGCCGCCCCCCGCCCGGTGCAAACACGCGCGTCCTGTGCCGCTGCACATGTGCAAGAGGCGGACGGACCAGCTCCCAGACACACCCACACCCCGGCCAGCACCCTCGCGCACACCCTGCACCCCCGCAGCTGTGCGCCCCGGTCCCCTGAAGGCCTGAGTGGGTCGTGGTCTCCCGGTCACCCCGGGCCCGGACCGGGGAGCCTGGCCACCACCGCCGGCGGGTCTGCGAGGCCGCCCCTGCAGGGAGCGGGCGCTAGTGGCCTTCGCCCAGCCCCGCGGGCCCTTCCTCCCAGCCACACAGCATTTGCATAGCGCTCCCCAAGCCCGTGGATTGCATTACTTGGAGACCCGATGATAATCTTTGTTGAAATAATATTTAACACATGCTGCACTTTTAATTAACTATCTGAATAATCTCAAATTAATACCAGAGCTTTAAAAATAAGTTTTCATTTTCGCATTTGGTAACATAATAGCAGCCCAGCCGGCCCGCTTCCTCCTTTGATTTAATTAAAAGCCCTTTTGTACGTCTCTTGTCACTTCAGAAACGGACAAAAGCCCCCGAGGTGAGCAACCTGGGCCCCCGACTCCGGGTCCAGGACCAGGGCCACAGCCACGGGGTGCCATGCGGGGGCTACAGTGTGGCTGCGCATCACACACGCTCACACACAGGGAGGTGGGCCCAGTCACAGGCACGCACACGGAGGCAGCAAGCTGCTTCCACCCTTCCACGCGCGTCCCAGGCCACACGGCCACGCCCCGTGCCGGCTCCGCAGGGGGACGGCCGGTTGGTCACCCGCCGGCCATCGGGGTGACGCTCAGGCCGGCCGGGGCTGGACTCCTGGTGGGCACCCCGGGCCTGGGCCCAAGGCCACAGCTGCCGCCAGTCAGCGCCCCGAGGGGGCGTGTCTCCTCCTCATGCAGTCTGTCTGTGCATCCAGGCTCGATGCTTCGGAAGCGGCCGGGCAGGCACCTCCGGGGGCACACGGCAGACACCCCCACCCAAGCCCCGATTCCTGGGCGGGAGCCGTGGAAATCCCTTAGATTCGGGGGCTGGAGGGTCAGAAACGGTGTCTGCATGGTGTGAGGTGGGTGGGTGAAGGGCCTGTCCCTTGGGGCCCATCTGAAAGTGGGATGCCCAAAGCGTCAGGGGCTGGCACCAGGAAGCAAGCGGTCGCATCTTCGCACGCGCAGGCTTCTCCGGCCAGCAGACGCGGAGGGCTGCATGCAAGCTGAGTAGTGCCCGGGGTCCTGCTGCGGGCGGGAAGCCAGGCGTGGCTGAGAGGGAGGACGAGGTGGGTGGGCACCTCCCCAGCGGGAGGGTCAGAGGGGGCCCAGGGGCTGCAGTGCCCGACGCCAGGGTCCAGCCTCCCTCCCAGGCCCGGCGCCTGGGACCTGGAGCGTGACCAGCAGGGCCCGGCCTGGGAACCTGCTGCCCTGGGGTCCAGCTCTCCTCCCCGACACCAACCAGTCCCTTCCGGCTGAGGCGGACCGGCCAGTCCCGGTCAGCGGGGCCCAGCAGACTCCTGCCTCCAGGGCTGCCTGCAAGGCAGGAGAGCCCACTCCTACCCACCTGCCCCTGGCTGGGGAGGACTGGCCCAGCTGCTCCAGGCACCTCGCCCCACCGTCTCACACTCACACACTCCCACCCATGATCACAAGTCACCCCAGACCACACACGAGTGAGCACACAGGTGCCCAGTCAGCCCGCGGCCTACAGGAAGTAGGGACCACCGTGGGCTGGACTCCAGGAGCCCGCCGGCCTGGGGAGGCTGCGTTCGGGCCGGAGGCACCCTCGTCCCGCGTTCCCACTGGGTGCTGGGGGCCCTGCGTGACCCAGGGGACAGCATGGGTCTCAGGCAGGGCGGGCGGGGGTCCCGGTTCACAGCGGGCAGCGGAGCTGGTTCAGAGAGGCCAGGAGAGTGGCTCAAGGTCACACGGGGGATCTCGAGCAAGCCTGCACACCGGTCAGCCCCCCACGCCCCCTCTACTACTGAAGCCAGCGTGGCCGGAACAGGAGCGAGGCGGGCGGGCGACCTCGGCGCTGGCCCAGAAGACTCGGGAGCCGGGGAGCTGGGGCTGAGGTGGAAGAGGCTCCTTCAGCCTCCAAGGTAGTGATAGAGCAGGCACTCTGAGGCCTGACCCCGCGACCTTGTACCGCCCAGCACACAGCTCCTGCTGAGGTCTGCTGGCGGGGTGGGGGCACGTGTGTGAGCCCCAAGCTCTGAGAAGTGCCCGCAACCAGGGACGCTGCAGGCCAGCCCCCCGTTCACTCATTTGGTCAGTCACCAGGTATGTCCCTGGTGCCCGCGGGGCAAGCGCTGTCCTGGACAGGTGTGGCAAGCCTGACCCGGGCCCTGCCCTCCCAGGAATGCAATTCCACTGGGAAAGAGGGGCCGCACACCTCAAAGAGATGGAGCGAGCGATTTCAGATAATGATCCTGAGCGGAGCAATCAGGGCGGGCTTCTCTGAGGAGGGCTCATGTGGACTGAGCCCCGCCAAGGAATGAATCCTGGGAGAGGATTCCAGACAGAGGGGCTGCAAGGGCGGCGGCCCAGAGGACGGGAAGTTCACTGGAGGGGGCCTGGGCAGGGCAGGTGTCTGCCAGCCCGGCCTGCGAGCAGCCCGCTGGAACAGGCACACAGGCCTGAGCACCCAGTGTGGCCAGGGGTTCCAATTCGCCAAGAAAACCTGGCGGTCTGGGTTTTGACGCAAAACCTTGATCTTTTTTTAAATAGCCATAACCAGTTGTACTTTTCCTGAAACTGTTCTGAGGGCCAAAAACAGCCGGTGGGCCTCTAGTTCAAGACCTCCCTCGGAAGTGAAAAGTGAAACTGCAAAGTGTTTGGACTGGAGCCCCCCAGGCTCCTCCTGGGGAGGAGGATTCCAGGGGATTCTTCCTGATCCCGGGATCGAACGTGTTGCAGGCAGATTCTTTACCATCTGAGTCAGCAGGGAAGCCCCCTCCCTGGGAAGCTGGGGCCTGGATTCGAGTCCCGCCTCCCAGACCTGCTGGCTGTGCCGGCCCTGTGCAGGCGGCCCTCTCTCTGGGGGTCTCAGCGCTTCCAGCTGGAAGGGGGCTGCCGTGGACGGCCGGTGCTTAAGGCATCCATGCACTCAGCAGCTGTCTGCTGGACGCCTCCGCGTGCCCGAGTCAGCGGTCTGGGGGGCATAGCAGCGGACGAAAGAGACAGGGTCTGCCCTGGCGCCCCTCCACGGGGAGCAGGAAATGAATGAGTGGTCACCGCGCAGGACTGACATGTGTCCAGAAGGCCGGGGAGGAGAACAGGACCAAGAGGCAAACAGGTATCGGGTGGAGTGACCCAAGGAGGGCAAAGGGCAGAGTGCAGTGGCCCCGGGGCCTGGCCGCTCCCGGAAGGAGGGGGCCGAAGCGGCGGGTTTGGGTCGGGGGTGGGGGCAGGGCGGGAGGGAGACGAGCCTTGTGGGGGCTGCGGGGGCTTCAGCTTTTCCCCCTGAGTCAGGAGCCGGGGGAGGGTGTGGCGCTGCGCACAGCTGAGGTCGCCTCTGGGGTCCACAGGAGCCTCCAGGCTGCCGCTGGGGCTGGAGGTGGGGGCCTGGGAAGGCGGCCCAGGCGGGGGTGAGGGGCCAGACCCGGCCGCTGGGGCTGGGAGGACGGTGAAGGGCCCCCCAGCACGGGGGTGGCAGAGAGACGCCTGGGCTTGGTCCAGGCCCCTGGAGGCTGGGACGGGGAAGCGGAGAGAGCTGGTTCCCGGCTACCGGCTGCAGCAGGGGCCCACTGGGGACAGGACCTCCAGCGTCCCGCCCGGCTTGGACGTGGACGCGCGGGTGGGGGGCGCGAGTGTAGACGGCAGTGGAGGGGCGGGGGCGGCAACGCCGGACCGGAGGGCCCTCGGTGGCTGGGGCCCGCGGGCCTCCCCTCCCCCACGCCACCTGCGGGGTCGGGCCGAAAGGCCTTTGTCCCGCCCCGCGCAGCACGCCCCCCCCCTCCCCCCCCCCCCCCCCCCCGAGCAAACACAGCTGAGCGCCGGGCTCGCGTGCCGCCCCGCCCCGGCTCGGCGGGCCCCAGCTCCGGGCGGGCGGCGGTCGCGGGGCGGCGGCTTAGCGGGCAGCTGCGGCCGCGGGCGGGTGGGCGGCCGGCCGCTCCCACCGGCGCCGCGCTTTGTCATGCAGATGCACGCTGGCGGCGCGCGCCCGCTCCCCAGCTGACCTGGGCGCCCGCGCCCCGCACCGGCCGGCCAGGCGGCCCCAGACCCGCTTGATCGTCCGCCGCTGGAACCGGATCTGCCTGGTGCTGGGCAGCCCGGGTCGGGGGCTGGGCGTCTCTGGGCCTGTCTCCTCGTTCCCAGCAGAGGACCCCCGAGTCGCCCCTGCGCGGTGGGGAGCACATTTGGAGACCAGTTCCCATCCCTCCCGCGGACGGTCCTTGGCCTTCCCTGAGCTCTGCGGCCCGCCCCGCCCCCGCCTCGGTCTTTCCATCTGTGCTTTGAGGGCAAGTGACCAGGTGACCGGGATGAGTGCGTGGCCTCGGGGCCGCGGAGGCTGATGACTCCACGCAGCCCCCCAGCGCTTCCCCCCACCCCCCAGGGCGGGCAGCTGGGACTTGGCCTGGGGACACACCCACTTTACCCAGGGCAGAGGCACCAGGAGAGAGGTGATCAAATGGAAAGTTATTTACTCCCTGGTGTCAGGAGTCAAGCCCCAGGCCAGGCCGGGAGCAGGAACATTCCTGGGTGGGATCAGGCCCTGAGCCGCCCGGGCGCTCGGGGTCACCGCGTCCGCCCCGTGGCCCCAGTCCATGCTGGCCTGGGATTCACGCCAGAAGCTGCAGAAACGACCACCTTGTGTGGGCCTGATGCTCAGGGTCTGGGGCCCTCCACCAGAGGAGTGGGTCCTCCTGGGCAGCCGAGCCGGGCAGTGGGCAGGGCCCCCTCCCAGGGGCGTCCCCGAGGGCACCCCAGCCGCGCTGAGTTTGTCAATCCCAATCACGTGGGTAGTTCCAAGGAAGCTCTGATCCAGAGATCTTACTCCTAGGACTTCATCTTCAAAGGGCGTTCCTGCCGCATGTGACCTTGGGCACTGACCTCTGTGTCCTGTCTGGAGGCGGGAACATCAGCACGCCGCCCTCCAGGGCCGCCTGAGGAGGGCGAAGACCCTGCATGTCGGGGTCCTGATGTGACTGACAAAAGGAGATGAGAGCCCGTCCCCAGGTGCCTCGGGGTCTGCCAGCCCCTGCCCCACCCCCCTGCACCCAAGCTCTGGTGGCCGGGAGAGGGGCGTCAGTCCCAGCCCAGACTCCCTCTTGCCTGCCACAGGAGACGGTGGGGGACGCCGGGGCGGGTGGCCCACACCTCCACCCCAGGCCCCTGCCCTCTGCTCAGGCTGGCAGGAGAGACCCTGGAAGGTGGGGGGCTCACCTGAACACACCTCCAGGGAGGGGCCTCGGTGCCCAGATCCGGTTTCTGGCAGGACCGGTTGGTCTGGCCCTGATGGATGGCTGAGATAAGGCGGGTGCCGGTGTCTGGGCTAAGAAGGGGGTGGCCCAGACCCCGCCCACTCAAGGGTGGCTGGGGGTCCGAGCCAGTCTTGTCCCAGCTTCTGGCACCGGCCTTGGGGGGGGGGGGGGGCACACAGGCCCTGTCTGCACCCCTTCCCTGCCTGCAGTAAGAGTGACCCAGGGGAGGGGCTCCTGACCCAAGGTCGCCCAGGCCAGACCCGCCGCAGGTGAGGGTTGTCCAGGCACACAGCAAGCTTCTGGCGCCAAGAGGCAGGCGGACTGAGGTTTCCCGGGCGCGAGGTTGTTCCGGACCCCACGTTTCAGCCGGGCACAGGCCTGGTTGTGTCTCAGATCTCCTGGGAGCCCCAGGGCTGGCCCGTCCTCAGTGGCCGCCAGCCTCCTGCTGTCTGACGTCCCCACGCCCACGAGATTCCCTTCATTTGATCCTCCCAGCTAGTTCTGGTGTCACCCCTCTCTTGCTGGGACCCTGACCGGTAGACTTCTGGGGCCCCAAAGCCCAGGGGAACAGCTGTGGTCCCCACACTTCAGGGCGAGGAGCCCTTAGTCCCCCGGACAGGGCTTCCCTTAGCTCAGCACGGGCCTTGGGCAAGGCGGCCCTCGGATCTGCCTGGGAAATGGGTTTTGCGTGCAGGACGGAGTCTTGGGAAGTGGTCCTGGGAACAGGGGGAGCCTGGGGTGGGAGACCAGGCCGGGCAAGGGGGAAAGTGAGCTGGAGGAGGTGCTGCTCCTCCGCGGTCAGTGGGCTGTGGACCCCGGGGAGGCCAGCTGAGAAACCTCGCGGGGTGTGCCGAGGACCGTCCCCCAGGGACGAGAAGGGGTGCAGCCCTCAGCCCACCGGGCAAGGTTGGCCCGTCAGCCGCCAGGGCTCATGCACACAGGTGCCCAGCAGGCCCCGCAGGCGTCCGCACGCTGGGCAGAGCAGCTCTTGGGCAAGGGCGAGCTAGGCCATCAGACGGGTCTGTGGGACGGTCTCCGCGGCACCGCAGCTGGCGGGCGCATGGCATACACAGACACGCTGCCCAGTGCACACACCCGCACCCCCGTCTGCCCTGGGGCAGCCTTTTCTCACTTTCATGTCTGGGGCAAATGAACCCAGGTCTCCGCGTCCTGTCTGTCCCCCGTGCCCACCCGCCCCCCAGTCTCAGTTCCCATGATGACCGGTCAAAGCCTCGCTCCCTCTAGCCTGCAGTCCACTCACAGGTGGGAATGATCTCCGCTCGTCAGAGTCGACATGACGCGGCACCCTGCCCATGGCGTAGCGGGTGTGCAAACCCGTCCTCCCTCAGTGAGTGCGGCAAGTCTCTGGTGGTGGCGAGGGCACCGCTCACCCCGCTCCTGACCTTTCTCCTGAACCCGAGCTCACGGCCGCCTGTCACGCGTGTCACACTCAACAGCCCCCACTGACCCCCTGGCTCCCCCTGCCTCACCGCCGTCCCATCTCAGAGCGGACCAGGCCCTCGGAGGTGACCCAGGCCTCCCTACAGCTGCTCTCCCTTCAGCCTCTGGGCCTGGGCGCGTGCCCCCTGCAGGGAGCACTCACCCCACACCTCCCTTGCCTCTCCCAGGAAGAGCGGGCTTGCGAGGCTGAGCCCAGGGCAGGGGGCTTAGAGCTGCGGAGGCCGCAGGAAGCAGGGTCTACGATGCAAGGACTCTGGGTGACCCTTGGAGGTCTGGGTGGGCAGCCAGGAGGCCAGAGGGACCAGCGCTTGGCAGGGGCCCGGCACGGGGCAGGCCTGGGGAGGGAGACGTCACATCCACGTCCGGCACGAGGCGCGAGCAGCTTCCGTGGGTCCGGGCTGCAGCCCAGGATGGAGTTAGACAGCAGGCAGGGCCAGCCCATAGCCCTGGGTCGGGCAGCACCCAGGTTCCTGAGCCAGCCGGCCCTCCAGGAGGAGACCCAGCAGTGGGATTTGTGGCTGAGCTGATGCTGGCCGGGCTCATGGAGACACGCAGACGCTCACAGGCCAGGTGATGTTGCCAGCCAGCTTTGCCCAGCCAGCAACTGGCAGGCAATCAATAAGCCTAATTAATAATTAACTTTTTAATTAAATATCAATTTAAAACAAGTATGGGAATCAGTCTCTTGCAATTAACACCCTTGCTCTGCTTTTGGAAAGGGGCTGGATGGGAGATCTGGGCTCCAGGGCCACAGGGGCAAGGCAGGCACGGAGGATCTCGCAGCGCGGGGAAGGGGCCCAGGCGGCCCGCCCCTCCCCTCCTGGAGCCACGGGGGCCCCGGGACACCCACCCTGTCTCCTCCAGCCGCAGGGAAAATGTGCTCGGCCCTGCAGTCACCACCGCACTGGGTACACTGGACACGGAGCAGGAACCAGCCGTGCCTTCGAGGAGCTGGCCTCTTGAACGTTGATGGGGAGAGACCCAGCAACCTGCGAGTGGCTGGTTCCCGGGATCCCAAGGAAGGAGAAACTGGGGCCGCAGGAAGACAGCTGGAAGGACGCGCTTGGCGTGGGCGCGGCTGGGCCAGAGGCATGCCGGCGGGGAGGGGCGGCAGGCGTGTTGCAGGTCTGGGGTGGCCCGGGTCGGCCCAGCGTCTGCAGCGGAAAGTAGCTGGTACATATCCCTGCTGCCACCCCGGAACCCCACGACCCCAGGGGTTTCCTGACCGGCGGCTCGGGTGACCGCAGGCATAACCACGGCGCCTGGGGGCCCAAGTAGCTGGTGGTGCAGGTTCCTGCTTTGGAGGGGGTGACAGCGTGGTGTGGTTGGCGGGCAGGGCTGCCCCGGGCAGGCCCTCGGGCTCCCAGGCCCCACGGCGCCCCCCAGGGTCCTCAGGACTTGCCTGGTGGCCGCCGGGGGCATCCAGACCTGGAGTCCTGATGGAGAGGCGCACAGCACGGGAGGGCCTGCAGGAGGTCCGCACGGGGAGCGGGGGCCAGGGCTCCCCCAACACAGCAGGTTCCCAGGGAGGGGTCCCTGCCGAGGGGCAGAGGCCGCGGAGGGGCCGGGCTGGGCCTTGACTGTGCGGGTGGGGGGCAGGTCCGACCGAGGCCGGGTCTCCGCCGGAACGGCGCGCGGGCAGGCAGCAGAGCCCCGCGGCTTGTCCCCGCGCCGCCCAAGGCCCAGACCCAGGGAAAGCGGGCCGGCGTCTGTTGACGAAGCTGCCATGGGGCTCCCTCCTGGGCTGTGAGAGCGCAGGGCGGTCGGGAGGCAGGGGTGCGGCGCAGCTGACAGGCGCCCAGTAGGTGCTCAGCAGCCCCTCACCCCCAGCCGCAGGAGGAGGCTATTCCTGACGTCAGGAGTCATGATGATGCGACTGTCCTAGCGGCCAGACCAAGGGCGCTGGCCGCTACTCGGCACCTAGCTTGGACCCCTGCCTGGCCAGGGAGGGATCCTGGGCTCTGTGGCCCTTCTGTAGCAGAGGGGGCAGACTGGAGAGGTCTGAACACCCTCCGGCACTTCCCGGGGGGGTGGCAGAGAGGGCTGCAGTGGGGGCCACGCTAGGGCTGGAGGTCGGCTCAGCCGGGCCCTGGACGGGGCGGTCTGTCACCGCTGTTGCCCACAGGCCTACCCCGAGCTGCGCTGGGCATCAGTCCCCCCATACCACCTCATCTCTCCCAGGCTCTCCTGCCTGGGCACCCTCAAGCTTCTCCCCCAGCTCCAAGGCCCCGCCCCTCGAGGGTCTCTGGGTCCCCCCTCCCCCCCCCCGTCCTGCCCGCCCCTGCCTGCCCACGGAGCCCCCTCCCGCCCACTGCAGTGCCCTTATCTGGGTCCAGCCCCTGCGCAATTGCTGGGAGCCCATCCCCATGACAACGGGGCAGATGGCGGCTGCGATTAGCTGCTCTCCCTCCCGCCACAGCTCAATCCGTCTTTGAAATTAAATCAGCTGCGATAACATCGACTGGCCAGAGGAGGGGGCAGGCAGGAGGCTGCCCGGTCCGCACCCACCCCACCCCAGGCCTGGGCGCAGGGCGAGAGGAGCAGGAGGAGGCGGCTTCCAGTGTGGATGGCTGACCTCGTCCACGTCTCTTGGCCTCCGAGCCTCAGTTTCCCCATCTGTAAGATGGGGGCAAGTGGCCATCCCTGTTTTGGGGGTCAGTGAGAGTCTTTGGAGAGAGGGTACAGGAGGAGCCCTGGGGGTGCTCAGTAGGGCTGAGAACATGGCCCGTTCCCATCCATGGAGAAACCAGAGCCCTGGGGGAGACCCCAGGCCATCAGGGTCCCAGGTGGCCTCAGACTACACGTGGTCGGAGACTGCAGACCTGCCCTGTGAGCTGCAGTGCGTGCCTCCCCAGGGCTTTGCTGCCCTCACTTGTAAAGGCTCCAGCATCACTGAACCTGGTGCCCGAGGGGCAATGCTGGGATGCCGTCATGTCCATCCGGCACTAGGGGACAGTCGGGGGCCTGGAGGGACGGGGGGACCCAGGAGCGGCGTGTGGAAGAGGGGGTGTGAGGTCTCCCCGAGGGTGTGGTGGCAGGAGAAGCCTGGGTAGAGAGGGGCGTTTCAGGAACCGGGTCCGTCTGTGCAAAAGTCCCACTTCAGGAAAGGGGTCTGCAGGGAGGGGACGGTGGGGTGAGTGGGGACCAGGGCGGTGGGGAGACGCGGCCCCAGGAGGAGGGTTCCCAGCATGGCACAGCCCGCGCCGAGGTCTCGAGGCAGGAGTCCCCCCGGCGAGTGTGCAGCTGGAGGAGACCACTGGGGCTGGAGCACAGAGTGTACCGGGGGGCCACGGAGGTCGTGGGGGCCTCAGTGGACACCCCGAGGGCTTGACTTTTCCTTTGAGTGTCTCACGAACCTCTCAGGTTTTCACAAGACCCTTTGGGCTGCGGGGATGAGAGTGGAATGAAGGGAGGAGGCTGGGGCACTGTCTGGGTGAGCCACGAGCACACGTGGCCCCAGGGGAGGCAGTGAGCGTGAGCCACGAGCAGACCCGTGCAGGCGCTGTGTGTGGGGGCTGCATTCTGAACGGGGGCCTCGCCATCTCCTGCCTCAGGACCTTTGCACGGGCTGTGCCGTGCCCATAACACTCCTCCCAGGCCCCTCTCTGCCCCACTTCCGCAGGTCTTCAGCTCCGCCGTCTGTCAGATGGGGCTAAGGGCAGAGACAAGGATGCAAAGAGGGGCTGAGGATGTGCAGCCAGGCTCCACGCACTCAGAGGGACTGGAACAGGGGACCGCTACGACTGGCCTGTGAGTCGGGGGGAGACACCGAGGTGAGGTCCTCGGGGTGTCTGTGAACGCCCGTGCCTCGCGACCACCCAGCCCTGGGATCCTGCGCCCGCCGGTGGGCTGCTGGCGGGTAATTGGATTTGCCGGGCAGCTGTCGGGGCTAAGCAGGCCCACTTGACGCAACCGCGCTCGGCGGTAATTGGTGAAGTTAGCAGATCCGCGGGGGCAGAGGTCGGGTGGTTGATGCTGTCGCGGGGGCTTGGATGAAGTCAGTCCAGCGGCGGGGCTGGGAGCCGCGGCGCGACCCTCTGTGTGCCACGGGGCTCTGCTGCCCCTCGGCTAACGCGGTTAGGGGGCCTCCAGCTGCCGGACCGTCCCCGGGGCTCCGTGGGGCCGGACCCAGGAGGCCTGAGCCTGGAGGGACATCAGGTCACCTGCTGTGTGCCCCTACCCAGGGCCCTGTAGCACCCGAGGGAACTCACGGGCCCCTAGGTATCTTGGGGTGCTGCCCTGTGGCGGGGAAGGGGAGACAGCGGCCGGGCTGCTGGGATCTCGTGGGGAGGGCGAGGCCTGACATCTTCATGCTGAAGCCGGGCAGCGCCCCCCGGGCCGGCGGCGGACGCCCTTGGTGTTAGCAGCCCCGAGCCGTGGACTGGGTAGGCGGGCGGCCGTAGCGACCCTCACGACCCCCACGGCGCTGACGACGTGCGCACGGACGCGGGCACGCACGCACAAGCACGCACGGGCACGGACACGGACAGGCGCACACGGACCCGCGCGCACGCACAGGCACGGACGCGCACGGACGCGGACACACGCGCACGGGCCCGCACGCACGCAGACGCAGGAGGTGCCAGCCCGGCGCCCGCGTGGCGCCCTGGCGAGGTCAGCCTGCGCCGGACGCCTGACACGTCCCCAGGCTTCGCGGGTGGGCCCCGGCCGTCCGCGCCGCCCCCCCCCGCCCCCGGTCCCCCAAGCGAGCCACCGCGCCCGCAAGCTCACTTGGCATGTTTATTGAGCACCGCCGGGCGGCGGGTGCGGGCGGCGCCTACTTGCTGTCCACCCGTTTGAGCTGCCTCTTGCCGTTGATGGTCACCGACTTGAGCTGCCCGTCCTCCTCCACCTCCACGCGCTCCTGACTGTTCTCCACGATGCGCTTGGTGGTGACCTTGTGGCCGTTGACGATCTCGGTGAACGACATCACCGATTTGAAGCCGGAGCCGCCCGAGCCGGAGCCGCCGAAGGACGTGGACGAGAAGGTGGTCCGGCCGGCGCCCCCGCGGCCCAGGTTGTCAAAGGCCGAGAAGGCCTCCATGAAGGCGGGGAACTCACCGAAGCCGGCAGAGAAGGCCCCGCCAAGCCCGTGGCCCCGGGACCCGCGCTCGCTGCCGAAGGGCGCGTCCCAGAAGTCGAAGGAGAACGGGTCCAGGCCGCCGAAGAACTCGCGGAAGATGTCCTCCGGGTTGCGGAAGGTGTAGCCGCCGCTGCCGAAGGGGCCGCCGCGCGGGGAGCCGGCCCCGCCCGGCCGCCAGCCGTCGCAGCCCGCGCGGTCGTACAGCGAGCGCTTCTTGGAGTCGGACAGAACCTCGTAGGCCTCGGACACCTGCTTGAACTTCTTCTCGGCCTCCTCCTTGTTGTCGGGGTTCTTGTCGGGGTGCCAGCGCAGGGCCAGCTTGCGGTAGGCCTTCTTGATGTCCTCCGGGGAGGCGCTGGCCTGCACCCCCAGCACTTCGTAGTAGTTAGCCATGCCGAAGGCCGGGGTGCGGCGGCGGGGAGACGCGGGCCCGGGGCCCGGGTGGCCGGTGGCTGGGGGCACCAGTGGCAGTGCGGGTCGCTCGGCGGGGGCCTGGCTGGACTCTGGGGCTCCTGGGCGGCTCTGCCCTGCCGACTACCCTTTCATAGTACCAGCGCCGGGGACGGGTGGACGCCTCCGCTAGAGGGGCGGGGGGAGGGGAGGGCAGTGCCGTTGGGGGGCCGCCCTCGGCCATAAGGCCCCCCGCAGAGCCGCCCGGCCCTTTGTGACATCGGGCCTGGGCGGGGCAGAGCCCAGCCCGTGGAGTCACGGCCGGCCCTGCACAGGAGGCCACGCCTGGGGGTCCACACTCGGAGCTCCGGCTCTTGGAGCAGCGGGGCTGAGCCCCAGGGGCTGAGACAGGACGAGCCTCCGGAGGTGGGCCCTGGGGGTCCGCGCTGGGGGTCAGGGAGGGGAGGGAGGATCCCTGGGGTGCGCAGACCGAGCCCAGAGGCTGGGTGGTCGGCGAGTGAGGCGCCAAGGTGGGGGATCGGCTCGGGTGGGGTCCGGGGTGGAGTTCCTTCTGCTGGCGCCCCGTGGTCCCCGCAGATCCTGAGATGAGCCCCGCAGAGGCAGGGGTGTGTCAGCGTCTAGGACCGCACTTGGCTGGCAATACACGTTCCTTGAATGAATGAGGCCCAGAGACTTGCGGCATCAGACTCAAGGTCACACAGCAGGTGGGTGAGAGAGGGAGGTGCTGAGCCGTGGTGGACAGCACCCTGGAGGGACATTCATTATTCCGCTCAGAGCCGGTGGGAAAGGCAGGGCTGGTAAGAAGTGTAGGTCAGTGAGTGCGGTGGGTTGAACAGTGGCCCCTGTGCCAACCGCAGAACCTGTGAACGTGCTCCTATTACTGTTGGGGAAAAGGGTCGCTCCGTATACAATTAGAGATCACCCTGCACTACCTGGGCAGGTCCAAAATCCATGACAGGAGTCCCTGGGCAAGACAGACGCACTGAGAGCAAAGCGGGATTGGGGGGGGGGGCGCAGAGAACACAGAGGGCCTGCCCCGGGGCTGGCAGCAGCCCCCGCCCACCCTGAGGCGGGGCGGCCTCCGGCCCAGTGCTGTCTGCGGCGCTTTGCGGGGAGTAAGGAACCCGGGGGCGTTCCTCCGGTTTTTGTTCTTGTTCTGATGCTGGGTGCGTCCAGAAGCAGCATTAACAAGCATGCACACCCGGGTTCCCGTGCCCCTCGCCCCCTCCAGGTGAGACGGAGGCACCCCCCCAGGGAGGCAGCGGCCCCGCCGAGAGCTAGTGGGCAGCGTCTCCCCGTGCCCGTTGCTGCTCTGCACCCCTTCCTGCCCCCCCCCCCATGGCTCCTTTTCCCTTGATGCTCACGGGTCCTGGGCTCCAAGCACCTCACGGGGACAGCATGTTCTAACCAACCCCAAATGCTGGCGGGGACCGAAAGCAGACGTGGGACCCCAGAGTGACAAGCACTGTCTCCTCACACCCCTTGCCCAGAGGACGGCTCACCGCGCGTCCCCAGCCCACCCACCCACACGCCCGGACGCGGGTGCAGGCAGTTCTGTAGGTGGGATGCTCGGGGTCTGTGGCTGCAGCGGGAGCCTGTTCTCGGCAGGCTTGTCTGCGGGGGCTGCGCGAACGTGCCCACAGGAGGCTCCTGGTGGCGGAAGCCCGCTTTACTCCTCAGCACCCCCGGGACAGCTGCTGCGGCTGCAAGACACACAGCCTCGTCCTGGAGCCCAGACCGAGGGGTCTCGGGGTGGGGGGAGGCGACTCCGAGAGCTGGCAGACACTGGGGGCCCTCCCACAGCCCCTGCTGGGACGTCACGAATGTCACTCTTGCCCACGGCACACAGTCAGGGCCGTTTCCAGCGGAGTGGGGAGTGGCCGTCGTTCAGGAAGGGCCGCGCGTCTCCAACAGCACCCTGAGAGGCGCGGTCCAGGCGGAGGGCGGTGCGCCGAGGTGGATGAGACGGCCGCGCTCGTGGCGGGGAGGCCGGCCTCGCTCCTGCTGGGGCGGTGATGGTGGTGGCGACCTGTGGCAGGAATAGTTGGGGTGCTGGCGGGGATGGGGGCACGCGGGGGGAGCGGCACTGAGCAGGAGCACCAAGGGCGACGGCGACAGCCCTTGCAGACCGCAATCCCACCGGCCGTACTCACGCAGGGACCGCCGCGCTCCTCCGTGGCCTCCATCGCACCCTGGAGAGCCTCTTACAGCTAGAATCTGCAGGGGCCCGAGGTGTGGAGGAGAAAGAGGCAGGAGCAGGCAGAGGGCAGCCCGGAGGTTTGCAGCAGCTTTGGGTGACCCTTCCGGAGGCCGTGCCTCAGGGCAGTGGGCTGAGGTGCTCAGGGCGAGCTCGCCAGATTGTCCCGGGGCTTGAGCAGCTGCCAGTGACCCTCGAGAGCTGCTGCTTTGGAGCCGCAGACCATGATCATCAGCGACTTGCTTCTCTGGTCTCTCTGCCCCAGGTCGGCCGGTGGCTGTGAACTCGGGTGCCACGTCTTCATGCCTGTTACATGGTCAGTAACCGCCTACCCCATGGAGTGGCTCAGGTGAAGGGGGTGGTGGCCGTGGAAACGGGGGCGACGCAGGTGGGGTGGTGAGAAGGGCGTGGTCACGGCGCAGGAACAGTGGCCGCGGTGACTGCCGCTTGCTGAGGCCGGGATGCTGGTGTCGACGGGCACAGTGCCCGCAGTAATGATGATGATGATGCTTGGGGCGATGTCAGAGGCGGCGGCGGCGGCGCTGGTGGGGTGTGGGGTGACGACCCCCGTGCAGGGGTGGTGTCCGTAGTGCGGGTGTGGAGGGAGGAGCAGGCGCGCATGCTGGCCTGTCGCCCTGACGATGATAACAGGGCTGTGAACTTGGTGGGAGCCTTGGCCCCGTAACAGCACTGTCAGCACAGTGTGAGGCGGTCACAGCGAGGTCGGACGTTGGACCCAGGGTGGTGAGACCCCTGGGCGTCCCGCAGACGCGACCCAGGCCCCCTCTCCCCGCCCTGCCTGGGGCTCCCTCAGCCTCCACTGGCCTCCCGCGGAGGAACCTCATCTGACCACTGATGCTGCCCGAGCCCCTCAGTGGGCTCCCTGCCCTGCTCTCCCCCTGATTCTGGGCTGGCCTGAGGCCCCCAGAGCTGGGCGACGGGCGGAGGCCATGGGGAGCAGAGCACACTGCAGGAGGCACGGGGCCGGGGAGGCCAGGCTCCCTGCAGCCGCAGGCCCAAGGATGGAGGGCGGCCAGGGACCAGGGGGAGCGCCCGTGAGGAAGGCCGCACGCAGAGGGGTCCACTTCCTTCTCTGCAGGGGGCTCCACTTCTGCCGGCTTGGACTGGCGTCCTCTGAGGCACAGGAGCCGGAAGTGTCTGCCGAGACGACAGGAGCGGCGGGCCCGGGCCCCTCCGCAGACCCGCTGAGGCTCCGGGCTGAGCCGACGCTGGCCGGCCATCCACCACCCTGCTGTCTGCCTCGACCACCCGTGGGTGGCGAGGCTTCTCCGTGCAGGCTTCTTCCTGCTCTGGGGAGCCCCTGGCCTCCCTGGTCTCAGACCCACCCTATGCCCCAGCCCAGGGTGAGAAAGAGGCCCTGGGGTGACCAGGCGCTGGCTGGCAGAGTCCAACCCCCTGCCCGGGACACCCAGAGAGGACCGGGCGCACCCAAGGCCACACAGTGGCCCCCAGGGCGCGCTGCGGGGGGCGACCAGGCAGCCAGTTGGTATTCTCAGCGGCCAGAGGCCCCTCTCTGTCTCTGTAATTAATGGAGTGGCTTTTTAAAAGGATTCTAATCACCCCCGATCCTATCTGCTTATCACTAGCGTCCCTAATTAGATGATCCTGGCAGTCACTCGGTTAACTCCCCCCAGCCCCGTGCAGCCCCGCTCGGCCTGGGGCAGCCCCCCCGCCTCCCCGCCCAGCCAGATGGGCAGCTCAGGCCTTGTGTCCCCTCCGGGCCCCGGGGCGCTAAGTGCATTACCTCCAGGATGGATGGGTCACAGCGTCGGATGGGCTGCTGGGTGGGCGCGGACCGGTGAGTGCAGGGACTGAGTGACGGACAGCGGCAGGAGTGGACTCACGGACGCACGGGGAAGCTGAGCACTTGGCCCGTCAGCTCAGACAGTGCTGCCATCTGCTCGCTGCGCGTTCTCAGGGCAGTCACTGCACCTCTCTGCCTCGGTCTCCTCCATCAAACGGGGCAGAAATAGCATCTTCCCCATTGGGTTGCTGCGAGGATGGCTTCGGACGGCGGAGGAGCCGGCCACCGTAAGTTAACGACGGAAGTGTGGGTGACGGGCAAGGTCAGGGTGGATGGACGGAAGGACAGGACAGATGGGTGAAGGCAGGGGGTGGACGGGCGGTTCGAGGAATACTGGGCAAGTGGTGGAGGGATGTACAGGCTGGTGGGCTGGGAGCAGGGCCACCGAGCAGGCGAGGGCAGGCAGCCTGTCCCCCCAGACACCCCAGGACGGCCTTCGCACATTTGAGGCTCGGACCTGCCAGCCTTCCCCTGGACCTCCAGGGGAGCGTCCTGCCACTGACACGTGCCCACCGTGTCTCTGCGTCCTCACCCTCATCCCCACCCAGGTTACACCCTGGGGTGGGCCGCGTGGTCTCGAGGCTCACTCAGCTCCAGCCTCCAGTGGGTGGTTACAGCCTGAGAGAAGGTGTCACTTGTGGGACCACCCCCCAAGTTCCAACGTGTGCCAGCCTCCAGGGCAGCCGCCCTCCCCTCCCCACCCCCCCTGCAGCAGCCCTGGGAGGGGCTCTGACCCCAGTTCCCACAGCTGGCTCCAGGCATCCAGGAGAATCCGACCCCCAGAAGCTCCCCCAGTACCCATGGGTCTCTGCACCTTCCAAGTTGGGCGGTTTCCTAGGTCTTTTTGGGAAAAGCAAAGAACAAAGAAGCCTGAAGCCTGCATGCACATGCCCACATTCACACCATCCACCTACCCACCCACTCATCTACTCATCCTCCTCTGCATCCACCCACCCACCC